CAGATCAACCGCAGACCCAAACTCTGACCCAGTGAGCCAGCCAGGAAGCATGCTGCATCAGGTGGCTTATCTTAGCCCTATTCTTTGAGGTCGGCCAGAATGGCCTTGAACTCCCCTCAGCCTTCTCAAGAGTTGTGACTACAGGTACACACAGCCACAGCAGGCTTTATTTTGTTACTTTGATACTAAAGGGAAACCAATTGCATTTTCTAAATTAACAAAGTCAAGAAGAAAATCCAGGCCACAGAGATGGCTCCATTGGTAAAAGTGTTGGCTAAGTAAGCACCAGGCCCTGAGTTTGGACTGCCGGCATCCACACAGACAACCCAGAGCAATGGTGCTTGCCTGTAAGCCAGCACTCGGGAGGTGGGGGCAGGAGGGTACCGGGGGCTTGCTGGCAGCCAGGCTAGGTGAACTGATGAGCTCCAGGTTCAGAGAGAGACTCTTTCTCAGGGGGAGGGGGAGGGGAGGGAGGAGGGGGGAGGGAGGGAGAGACTGAGACTGGCTAGGGCTGGAGAGATGGCTCAGCAGTTAACAACAAGAACTGCTCTTGCACCCACGTCAGGCAACTCACAACTGCCTGTAACTCCAGCTCCAGGGGATCTAATACCCACTCCCGGCCTCTGTTCATGTGCACATACACACACTTTAAAATAAAACAAATCTAAAAGAGAAGAGTGGAGAGTGAGCAACGAAGATACCAGCGGTCAACTCTACCTGCGCACGAGCACGCACAAACACACACACACACACACACACACACACACACACACGCTGTTCATACACGAACACACATATAGAAATAAAAGACTAAGAAAGCCTATGTCAGTCAGAAGAGGCAATGAACACATCTGTCAAAACCTAGCACCCATTCACAGTCTAGTTCATCCCCACAGATATGGAAGAAACAGCGAGAACCTGTCACTACCCACTGGGCCCTAACCAGTGCCACCAGCAACCCAGTCCCCCAGCTTTCTTGTTGCCATGCCCAGCTGTCCTGTCTGAACCTGCAGATAACCCTGTCCACGGGCTCCGGCCACTTCCTGTCCCTCTGCTGTTCCTCATGGACTGGGTATCCTGCCCATCTTCTAGGTTCTCACCTGGCAGAGTCCCAGCCTTACTCTAAACGTCCCCCACTGGAATGTGGGCACAAGTCGTTAAAAGGGCTGCAGGGTGCATCTGTCCAAGAGCTCAGGTGGGCCCCCTGTGTGCAAGTCTGCTGATGTGTAGCCTTCAATTCCACCTCTACCTTGTCCTCTGTCCTCACTGGGTTCCGCACACAGTCTGCACTCAAAGTCGGCACTGGGGCAGGATGTGGGGCAGATGCTGTGGCATGGTGCGCCTGAGCATGCGTGCGGGGCCCGCCCATCCCTGCAGACAGATCCAATTGCTCCTCCTGAGACTGGAGTCCTATCTATGGTCCTGGGGGAACTGGAGGCTGGGAACCTATTCGGCAGACTGGACTGATACTGTTTTATCCTCGCCTCCCTGGGAATGTTGGCTTGGCCAAGGTAGAGAGGGAACTGTTAGACACAGAGGGGGCCCCACTGGAACCCATGAGGGCCCCATCTCAGGGACACTTCCTTGCTATCTCCTTGTCCCAGGAACTCAACACTGCTGATATGGAGAGATGAGAGCATATTTTAACCTGGCTGGCTGCAAAGTACTCTGTGCCCTGGTGTGAAGGTCCAAGAGAGCCCTGACTGCGATCCTTAGCGGCAATGAGGATGCAGAGACAGAGCGGTCCTCACGTTCCTTCCTGCCGCTCTACCAGTTCACGTGAGGAGGACCAAACTGCTGACTGGTGGGTCAAAGCAAACAGGCGTGGCATGGAGGTAGAGACAGTTCAACTGGAGGACTGGGAGCCTGGGAGGAACTTCAGCTAGAGAAAGACCAGCACCCACCCTAGGGGCATGCTCCCGAGTATGAGAGCGGAAGTGTCGCAGGGCCCAGCACACAGACAGCGGTGTGCACTGTACCCACAATCCCACTGCAGATTCCACGTTCTGCTTCAGTATGCACAGGCACTCTTAGTGCACACTGAGATGACCCTGCAGGTTCTTGTCCAGCTGCCCTCAGTGGCGCTGCTGAGGGCATGCCTGTGGCACAACAGGACTGCAGATGACACAAGGCTGGGACTCTCTGGAGAGCACACTGGACTGCTCTAGCCCAGGCTCTCTTAGGTAGGGAACCTTGTTACTACTTAACGACCTAAAATACTACTGGCTGTAAATCAGTCCCTGCTTCAAGGCTGTGGGCCCTACTCCATGTGGAGGAAGGAGCAGAGCCTGGGTACCACCTGTATCTGAGGCCCAAACCCGATGGCTAGCAGCAGAGCCACCTCAGGGAGGCAGGCGTGAGCTAATGTCCCTGAGGTTCCCCAGGCGCTCTCGAGTTGGTTTTCCTCTGTAGGCATCCTACTGGTCATAGCGGGCCCCTCCCTGACTGAGTCCCGGCCTGGGCTCAGGACCCTCCAGAAGGATCTCTGGCCACCAGTGGCTCTTACAATTCATGACCTCAGGTGCCAGGAATGCTCGCCGCAGCACCATCTGGTTCTGATTACCCATGCTAGGCTGCGGGCGCCTCAGCCAGGGATCTGTGTCCCGAGTGGCTGGGAGATTGATTTGGGCTCCTCAGAGACTTTAGCAGGAGGATGTGAGGAAAGCGTATCTGAACCAACGCAGGGTTTGGGCCAGAGCAGGCGGCCATGTTCTGGTGCCATGGCACCAGAAAGGATGCTGTGGACTGAAGGCCATCTCACTGGTTCTCAGGGATTAAGAATGACCTCAAATGGCTTGCGTTGGCAGATTACCAGACACTTCCTTCCCTGAGGCCTGGGCTGTACAGAACCAGGATCTCCCGGGCCTCTAGGGCCAGCACTGGACCTGACTGTATGAAACAGCACTGGGCCTCCACCAGACTCCTGAGTCATTCCACCCTCCCCAGCAGGAAGGCAAGCTCAGCAGGGGGTGAGGCTCCCTACCTCCTTTGATGTAAGCTGCTGGGCCAGGCTCTGCCCACCTCACCCCAACTACTTCAGGCTGCAGTTCCTAGCTCCCTTCTGCTTTAACTTTTCAACTCATTAGTAGAGTAAAAGTTCATCTCTGGACTGGAGCATGCTCATAAATTAAGTCTTAAGTCCCAGCAGCTGTTTCCCAAACATGCAGGAGATCGCAAGAAGCTTTGGCTGGAAGGGCCTCTTCCCGGGTGCAGGGCACACGAGGCCTGAGTAGGAGCCCCAGAGTTCTTGCAGGAGCTGCTGAGGTGTCAGTCCTCTGCCTTCAGGCTGATGGGTCAAGCCACAAGGGAATGGATGCTAGACCCCACAGGGTGGTGCTGCTACCCTTTACCAGGCCTCAGAGGCAGGAGGGTGTGTGAAGGAGACCTCCAAGCCTACCTGCTAGGCTCAGTACCTAGTGAGGCGGGGACTCAGGACACAGTGACTGAGCACTGTGCTCTCCCATATGTTCACATGCAGGCCCCGGTTCTGAGGTCTAGGGACTCCTCTGCAGGTTGGAAACCCTTTCCTTTACAGTGGGAAACCTGCAGGTCTCTCAGACACTGATGGACAGTTTTACTCTCAATCCATTATGTGCCCAGCATAGCTGGACCCCAGGGACAGTCAATGCTCAGAGCTATGGATATGTGCCTGCCTTACTGGTGGGCCTCACTGTCCATCTCCCCTTTCCTACTGGGCCCTGCTGGTGGGGAGGCCAAGTTATCTATGCTGTCTGCTTCCCAGTGGGGCACTCCACAGTCAGTGTGCCCAAGCCATGGCATGTCGTCCTTGGTGACCTTACAGTTCCTCTCCACATCACTCTCCTTCTGACCTAGGACTTCCCTAGGCCCCCTATCTACTGTGCACAATTAGTTCCTTTCCCAGAATGGCCTCATGATAAGGTCCTGATTTGAACCCTGGATGTGGGAACAACCTCAAGACCCTGGGTGCCTCCCAGCACCAACCTAGCCCTGACTTTCCCCACTCGCACGCCTCAGGAACTGTGGTAACTGGAACCTGATGTGCTCAAACTATCCTCACCTGCAAGGCCCGAATGTCTGCAGTGAGACTGCTGAACAAGTCTTCCTCCCACTCTGGGAAGGCTGCAGTAATGGCCTCTGAAGCCTCCTATTGGGTGGAGGCAACCTGACCACCATGCCCCAGAGAAGGGTTGGCATGTCCCCCGCCAGCTCTGTTCTTGGTGCTCTAGCCAAGTCAGTGAGGCTGGGAGCTAGGCTATGGCCACGTGATACTCCATAGGCCATGCAGCTCTCCCACCAGAACTGTTTCCACTGTTGAGTTATAAGGCCAGGTCTGTCTTCTGAGACTGCGGGACAGGCTCTTTTCCTACCTTGAGTCAGGGTTACCCAGACCACCTCTGGGGTCTTGGTAGCTTGTAGTCTGCCAGGCCTGTACAAAACCAAATCCTGGATACATTTCACAATCCCTCCATCCTAAACAGGGAACAAGCCAGCTAGGCCCATTATGCTGTACTCTGGGCAGAGGCAATCCTGGGACCATACCAAGTGGGATGGTTCACAAGACATTGTGGGGTTGTCTCTAGCAAGCCTTGCCCAGCCAAGTCTTACTGCCTGGTAGACTTTCCTGTGACCTATGAGCAACAGTCTCCCTAGGACCAGCTTACAGATCCCATCAGGCCAGGGCTTTGCAGGACTTGCCATAAGTTTTCTTTTTCTTTGATTAATCAGTTCCTTACTGACCAAACTCCTCTGAGTTTTCACAAAGGAGTTTGGTCTGCCTGGACACTACGTGCCTTTTTCCTAGATGGACATGACTTGATGGCTGTTAACCCGAGGTCCAGGAGAAACCCAAACCATGTGAACGGCAAGCCCACGCCTACTGGCCCTTGCTCCCCTACTGCCTCTGAGTGATTAATTAGCTAGGGAACTGCAGCCGCTCCTCTTCATGCCTAAATATTGTTTCGGCCTATCAGACTGTTAGTGCAGAGCAGGATAAATGAGGCCTGGGCCTGTGCACTGACCTGCAGGGACTGCTGGTCGTCCAGACTCCAGACAGCCAGTACCTTCCCGGCAGAGCCTGAGACGCCCTTGGCCTTCTGAGAGTCGAAGTCAAGGCCCATGACAGGTTCTTCATGGCAGGCAATCCGGCTGCACACCTTCCGCTCCGAGATATCCCACAGGGTTACCGATCCATCCTCATAGCCAGCCAGAAGGAGAGGGCGGGGACTGGAGCTAGTCTGTGGGGAATGGCACAGTGGTTGGCTCCCAAAGGATCTTGTCTTCAATGAGCTTTAGGGCTGTGGGAACAGCTCTCTCTCCAGCCATGCCCATAAGGGGGTTGGCCCAGTCAGAGAACAGTTCCTTTGCCTTTCATGTATCCTAGCAGCCTCCCACATCCCTCGCATGGGGCTGGCAGGGCCACTAAGTACCTGAGGAGCTGGAGGTGGAGTGTAGAGCAGCCTATGTGAGCCCCAAGCCTCACACAGTCATACATGTCCCCCTACATTGGATCCTGTCCAAAGCAAGGATGACAGGATACCCACTGGTACCTACCAGCACCCTGGGGCAGCTAGGAACAGACTCAGACTTCTCCCTCATCTCCTCCAGGTGTAAGACTAGAAGTCACTCCTTGTTGAGACTAGTCATCCTCTAGAACCACCAGGTAGGAAAATTGCAAGCTCAGTGAGAAGGAGTTCCTGAGCTTTGTTAATGTAGCTGCAGAAGCCCCCACCCTTGGAAGTTTGGTGTGAGCGGCCCTCACTATCGTGATGGATGAGGGCGAGGGTCAGAGGGCTCTGCGCCCTGGGCAGACGCTCGTTTATTTAGCCTCTGAAACAACTACAAAAGAAGAGTGCTGCAGGATTCCAAGTCACCCTCAGGGACATGCCATCAGTCCCTGCACTGCACAGCAGCCCGAGAGAAACTGCACAGGGAGGGCTGAGCAAGGAGGCTCAGGCTAGCTGGAGGCCTGTGGCACACATCTAACAAACAGCACAAGGGCCAAGGCTCTCCGGGTCAGCCCGGGCTATGGCTGGGGTGTGGTAAAGCATGAGCCTAGTGGGGGCTGGGGTGGGGCAAGGCCCACTGTAGACCAGTATCTGGAGGGATGGTAATAACAAGAAGCACACAATTACCAGACTTTCTGCAAGTACAGTGAACTTGTCAAGCCAGAGCTGCCACCAAGCGGGGTCTCTATATGTCCCCAGAAATGGCTTGTAAACTGACTGTATCCTGATGGTGACTCAAATTCACACATACAACATAGGAAGGAGTGCGGCTCCTGGGAGGGCCCATGAAGCTTCCTGTGTGTTTCAGGACAGTTCACTTTTAGCATCATCTTCAGTTGCTCTCCCCTAGGGCCAGAGCCCACATTGTGTCCTTTGACCACAACCCTAAGGGTTGTCCCAGGTCTCTGAGTGTGTCCAGGACCTGACACAATGGTTCTTCCTGGCTCTACAGAGGCCCTGGCTGTACTGCTGCACTGTTCCTGGGTTTTGTCACAGGGATGCGTTTCCCTGCTGGTGTTTCTCAGGTCATCTGCTTGCAAATGGTTTGTGTAGGCCCACACTGTTTGCCCTAAGGGTGGCAGGGCCTCCGGACACGCTGCTTAGGCAAGTGGCTGTGAGCTGGGTCAGGGCAGGGGCACTCCAGGTGGGAGAATCCCAGAACTGCCTGCACCCCAACCAGGAATGCATGCCAACTCTTGCCACTCTTAATCACCACCCACAGCATGGCCACCTGGCAGATGCTACGATAGAAGCTCCCTGGAGAGAACGGTCTCAATGTCTCAAGGCTATGAAGATAGAGCCCTGGCAGTGGTCTGTGGTGACATCTATGCCATCTCTACAGCTCTGGCTGCACTGCTTCTCTTCCCTGGGCTGTCCCTTGTTTTTTTAGTCAGGGCAGACCAGAGCTCCCTTCATCATTGGTATCAGCCCTGGCTGGCATGCACGAAGCTTGGTTGAATTCTGAGCAACATTGATTATTTAGGGTTACTAGATAAGAACCCTCCCTCTGCCACAGTGCCACAGCGTGGCCAGAACAGGAGCCAGGCTGGCCTAGGGGTACACCTGGTTTTTCAGCCCCTGCCAGTTACCACTTCACTCTACTGGATTTGCCCTGGTTCCAATAGTCTTCCAGGGACAGTGCTCTGCTAACCAGTAGGCCTCTGGTGGTCACAGCACTGATGCTGCAGAGCCAAGGGTCTGAAGTCACCCTGCCTTGCCCTCTTTAGCAGTCCCCTTGCCCTCAGCTGGGACCTAGAGACAAAGACTGGCTCTGTAGCTTTTCCTGCCCTTTGAAGTACAGCCTGAGACATGGTAGCAGGCCAGGGCCTACAGGAACCCCAACAGTGTGTACTACAACTCACTAGAGAGGCCCCAAGACTCACAGACTCCTCTGAGAGTGGGTACTGATGATGTTAGCTAAGGCCTGACTTACAGCCTGGCCTGGCCTGGCCTGTAATTATTACCACAGCAATGCAGGACAGCTACTTTAAAGTGTGAACTAAAGATGGACCTGCATGTTTCAGAAAATACATTGGATCAGGATACTTTGCCACCCTCCTAGATTTCTGGATTTAGGAGAAAACAAAGAACATTTCTATAACCAGAGGCTTTTTGCAGCTATAGGCTTTACGCTGGATCTGTATCACCAACAAAACCATGATTTGTCCTTCTGTCAACTATATTAATTACCTTAACAAGTTTGTACATCCCTTTCTACACATTTTTTTTCTGATGGAATTTTTACACGATTGGGCAATGACCCATGTTTTCCAGGATGCAGAGGTGCAGCCACAGGTGCCTGTGCCAGGGCTTGCAAATGCTGTGGTCACCTCCTTGGATACTTCAGTGTAAGGTTGGGAGGCAGGATGAGGGTCCATTTATTTTCCCTGAAGTGCCCAGAAACTTGAGAAGCCCCATCTGGACACACTGAGGCCAAGAATGAGGCTCTGCCTCTGAGTCAGGCTGCAGACTCGAGGGCCCAGGAGCTGTCAGCGAGGCTCTCGGGAGCCTTGACTCCCCGAAGGCATTTCTCTAGAAAGCTGCACAGCAAAGGCTGAACATTAGATCAGCTTACAAAAGACTTCAGATCTAACTCAACCTTCTCAGTTAAGAAACTGCAAGGGGCTGGAGAGATGGCACTGTGGCTAAGAGTTCTGGTTACTCTTACAGAGGACCCAGGTTTGATTCCCAGCACCTACACAGCAGCTCACAACAGTCTGTAATTCCAGTCCCAGGGAATCAGAAGCTATCTCTTGACTTCCACAGGCACCAGATGTGCAAGTGCTGCATACACATTCATTTGGCCAAAATACTCATACATGTAAGATAAAAAATAAAAAAGGAAACTGCAAGGAATGCCAACTGAAAGCAGGTCAGACATCCTTCTGTCTTCCATCCATACAGAGTCCTAGGGCAGGCACGGAGGTGCCCTCCCAAGCTTCTTGTGGGCCATGCAGGCGATTCAAAACAGAACAAGCCCATCTCACCAAGCCACAAGGCAGAAATCACCAATGAGAACTAGGAAGCTGGCCAAGGAGTTACAACCCCCCCCAACATGGGCACTGCCCCGTGACATTGTGGCGCCTGTACTGGTTAAGACTCTCAGGCTTCCAGGATTCTTTTCGATGATACAGTAAATAGAAGTGACCCAGGAGGGAAAGATGCTGACCTGGATGTGGCCAGGCAGAGGCTTCACCTTGGGAAGCTCTGGGCCTGTTTATGTGTGTGGGGACTCTAGACCTTAGGCTGTGATGACTACCTGGATCCTCGTTTTTGCAGCAGCCCCAGGAGATGGCTCCTGACCCTCCAACAGAAACAACTATCAAGAACAAAGGAAATGGCTACAGGTTAGATTTCCTGGAATGGCTGGGAAGTGGCAAAAATGAATGCCCAGAACAGGGGGTCCATGCAGGCTTGCTGACATGAGTCAGCTTTTCCCTAAGTCACAGCAGAGACAAGGACCAAGGTGCAGAGGAAAAGGGCATGTGTTCTTCTAGGAGCAAGCCCCACAGCTGACCTAACTGTCCCCTCCTCGCAGCCTCATTTGGCATCTGTGGAGGGTGGGGACCGGTTTCTGTTGGGTTTCCTTCCAAGTACCAGCAGCAGCCTAGGAGCAGCTGCTGTCCAGCCAATGCTGGGCCTCAGAGGACAGCAGGTCCATGTCCTCTAAAGAAGAGTGCTCATAGATTTGATGACAAATCCAACCCTGAGTGGGGCATGACTCAGGGCTGTCGGGTGTGGCTGGCGCACGCTGCCTTACCTGCCACAGCCCCAGGCACATGGGCATGCCTGCCTTGGCATCTGCCTCCGGCTTCAGGGTACACACTGACGTCTTGGATGGCATCTCCAGAATCTGAACCTGACAGTGAGAAAACAAGCTGATTTGGGCTGATGCCAAGCCGAGTCTATGCTATGCAAACAAGAGACGGTTAAGGAGATTAGCCAAGGCTGCTGCGAGTTTCTGTCTGCTCCTCTCCCTGTAGGGACCTGAGAGCAGAGCCTCCTAATTAGTTTGCACAGGCTAAAGGGCTTAGACGCTCCTGGGGTCCTTGCAAAACAAATGCTCACATCATTCCTGAATGACCAGCCCTTCGTTAGCAAGCAGCTATGGCACGCCTTGTCCCAGTTTGTCATTTGGGCAAAGCAAGCCCGGCTCACTTGGTCCTACCTACTCTGGCCATTCTCCCTCCTTGGCTTGTTTCTCTTGCCTCAGGATTTCCAAGGGCTCTCTTTGAACAATCTCAGGCATACAAAATGACGCAAAATCTTATGCAGAAGGCCTGAGACCCATCCAATACCCACCTAGGGATTCAGCATGTTGCAGAGCTAAGGCTAGCTCCACAGAGTCCTGGTTTCCCAGTACAGAAGCACCCGAGTTACCAACCCAGACTACCTAAATGCCAGATTGTTCTGGGCCTGGGCTGGGCTGGGCCTTGTGACTCACATGGCCCAGCTTCCCGTGTGGTATACAAATCCAAGTAGACTGCTTATATGCTGACCAGCACCATCCACAAGGACCAGACTGGATTGGTTTCCCAGACATCCTGTATCTAAGGTGATAACCTGGTACCCTCATTCATTTTGGAGGGATGTGACACCTTTCTTGTGAGCTCATGAGAACAGAAGGGCCCCACATGACATGCTGCAGTCTAGCACAAACCAGATGTTTCCTATGAATTTTATCTGCCTGGGGTTCTACTGCACTGTGGTGCCTATGTGTACCTTCTGGTATCATGTGAGCTGAGTGGATTCTGGAATTCTAGAGCTTCTCTAGGTACCAGCAAGAGCACGAATACAAACCTGCTTGGAGTGGCCTGGTCTGCACACAAGGCATCAGAGCTCCAAAGGGATGGAGGTGTTAACTGGACAGCATATACCCAGTATGGCCAAAGCCCGGGCAAGTAACAGCTATGTTGTCCTTACCAACCCATGCCACATGGAACCTTATCTGTCATAGCCACAGAGATGATTCTATATCAGTCATCTGAGCCTATGGGGCTGGGCCTAGGGCAGCTTCCAGGCAGTGCAAAATGCCAAGCACACAGCCTAGTCCTTCAGTTAAGAGTCCTGTTGTGTACCCACTTCTGATAAATGGGGGCCAGGGTGCTCTCTAGCAGGGTAACCTCACCAGAATCTCCATAGTGACTGGACTTCTAATGGCCAAGTTAAGCACGAGGATCGGCTCATAGCTCTCTGTCTCACCTGTTGCCGGAGAGTCTTATAGCCCCTGCCTCTACAGCGGGAAGGAAACTTGCTTGGGCCTTTAGGAGACAGACTGACGTCTGAGGAACCCTTGGCTGTCTGTGGGAGGTGGTAGGGAGAGTCTAGACCCTTGGTGATGTTGGAGAGCAAGGCATCAGGGTGGTTGTCACAGCTCCAAGGACAGGTAAGCAGGAGAGTGCCTAAAGACACAGTTCCAAGGAGGCAGGAAGATTACTGTGAGGCAGTACCAGTGACCAGAGGGTTCCAAGGGTTGTTGACTATTCAAGACAACCTATCAACAAGGGCAGAGGAAGCAGAGTCCGCCAAAGGAAGGGGTGCCAACAACATGGGAAGGCAGTCTGTATGGGGGAAGCCAGGATAGAGGATAAGATGTAGGAGGCAGGCCTGCTGCAGGGGAGTAGAGATGAACAGTGTGGCAGTGGCCAGCAAGTATGCAGTAGAGTTGCTCCAGGACAGAAGGCAGAAAGGGGAGGGGCTCCTATCCACAGTCCTGTCTTCTCAGGCCCACAGTCCTCCACAGCCAGCAGCACTGAGTAGGCAGCTCCTGCTGGTGCTGGCAGATCAGGCCTGTGCACTGGCTTAGGCTTGGCTCCTGCCCAAGAAAAGTCATTTTGTCTCCAAGCTGATCTAGTTCATAAATAATGAGATAGTAACAGGCATTTATTTGTTCATGATTGCATTTAAATCACCAATTAGGAGCTACATACACTTTTCTTGCCAGTTTGCCAAAAACCTGTTAAAAGTTTTATTAATGTGAGGGGTGGGGGAGTTGCTTCCTACTGTACAGCGGGCCAGGCAGCACCAGGTCACCCCAAGCCACAGACCCACAAGACGCCACTCTGAGGGTTAAGAGAGCTCAGCTACTCTCAGGCCGTTCATCAGTTTCATCTTCCTATGTGGAGGCCACAGCTTCCTGGCCCTAGCTCTCATTGTAGATGGCACTGTATTTTCAAAACAATTTTTATCACATTTATTTATTCATTTCTATGTGTGTGCCTGTGCACGTGTGTGTGTGTGTGCGTGCATGTGTGCACACGCACACAACTTTTGTGACACAGTTCTCTCATCATACAGGGTCTGGAAATTGAACTCAGGTTGTAGGGTTAGGCAACAAGCATCTTTACCCACTAAGTCAACTCAACAGTCGGACGTTGTATTTTCATAAGCTGCCAGCACACCTTGGGCAAATGGTTGTTTTCCAGTCTGCCTGGAATCTGCCTGGGCCCTGGAAAAGCATAGCTGGCTTAGGCCCAAACAATGCCCGGGAGCATGCTCCCACCCCTCACGGCCGTCTGGGTGGCCACGCTTGCCCAAACCTAGCATTTTTCCTTCTGGAAACAAAGGCTGGCATAGATGCCAGATGGAAAGATCCAGTGTCTGTAGGAGGCTCTGCTCAGGGAGGCTAGGCACTGCTCTTTTGGCTCCCAGAGGCCTGGAGAAGCAGGCTAGACAAGGTAGCTGCCCCAGGTCTGACCCTGAGATCCTGTTCTCCTGATACAGGATGGATGCTGTGCTTTCTATACTCTCAATACATGCCACATTGGGCTCTAGACGGTCACGGGTTCACCAGTAGCTCCTATCTGAGGCTCCTTTACTATCCAGCCTCTCCCTGCTGCCACACTGGGGTCTTCCTGGGCGCTCAGGGGTAGGAACAGTCCCTGCCATGGCCAGTGGACAGTGCAGGTTTTGTATCTGTGACTTTTGTCTCCTAACATACCACCCTTCCCAGAATGTACAAGTATGGAGTGCAGCTTCTCTGCCCTTTACATTTGGGTTGAAGCATAGCCCTGGCCTTTTGGTTGCTCATCACTGGCCATGCCTTGTACCCATAGCTCTACATACAGGGTGATGGCGATTCTATAGGAAGAAGCCCCGAGACAGGGTTAGTTTACTCTTACAGAAAGCAGAGGGTCCTGGTGTTGCTGCGTGGATCCATCTCCTGTTGCTCTGGTCTCATAGCTGCTGGGATGCAGTTTTCAGATGTCTTTTATCCTGTTCCTTTTCTTTTTGCCAGAGTTTGTGGAACAGTGTTTCACAGAAGGCTTGGGTACCCAGGAGTCCCTCTGACCTCTTCTTACCTCGACTTGCTCTCATTCTGACTCTGTATCCCCTTCCCCAAGCTTGTGGCCACTCCCATCCTCATTCAGCCTCCAGAGCCTGTGTTTTCACTGTGGTGTAGCTCCACCCGTTTGTGAAGTCCCCTGTGGCTTCAGTTCTCTTCACTGTGTCACTGTATTGGAGTCTCTGTTGCCTCTTCTAACAGGCTAACAGTGCACCAAGGCCCCAGTTTCTAGAGGTTCCTCTCTGTATACATACGTGTATGTACATGAATACGTGAACAGGCAGGTATGTTTGTCTGTATGTGTGTACACAGCCCTGAGTGGCCCTTCTCCTGGAACACCATGATGCTGAGTACCAAGGTCTGTCTGAGGCCTTCCTGATTCTCACCATTGCCCTGGACAAATACAAGCTCACGGAGGACCAGGCTGTGCATCAGCCGAAGACTGCTGGAGCTGCAGTGAAGCAGGCAAGTTGCAGAACTGCAGCTGACAGTCCTGTGGCAGCACTGGGTCCTCCTTACTGAGGGAGGACAAGTGTGCCTGCTTAAGGCAAACCCAATGTCATTAGTGCATGGAAGGGAGCTCCAGAGAGCTGGTCCTTACCTCATCACTGCCCTTCCCAGGAACAGCAAGCATCCAACACAGCTGCTCCCTGGCCAGGACAGAGCTCTTGCAGAAGCCCACACTGTCCAACTGAACTGTGTCCATGATGGTGTTCCTGCCCTCTGCCAAGTCCCACAGGCACAGCCGCAGGTCACGGCCCTGGCTGATGAAGCAAGGGGAGGGGTCTGTGAGACACTGTAAGCATTATGCACCCACTTGGACCAGCATCTGATCTATAGCCCTTCAATGCTGAAAGTAGCCATGTTTCCAGAAGGTGTCCAGGAAGCTTTGCACCATCCAGGCTAGAGGCCTCAGGTGAAGTGGGCTTCTCCCGCAGTGCTCACAGCTGAGTTGGCATCTACGGCTCTGAAGCCAGGATACTCAGTAGACTGAGAATGCGGACACTGAGGCATGCACCTATGACCAGCCTCCTGCCATTCCAGTGCCACTGAAGTATACCTTCACCCTTTCTGTTCTGTAAAGTGCCTTTAAGGACTCAGACGTCTCACTCGGGTCTCTTCCACTCAGAATGACATGCAAGCATGATGTTCTAGGCATCACCACAAGGAAACAATCCAGCTGCTCTACAACAAAAGAATGGCCAAGTATGCTGTGCCACAGAGTGCCACTCAGCAAGGGATGGCGCCGACTGCGGACACATGCAGCAGCTGGAAGGAAGTTGAGCCACAGTTTGCTAAGTGAAAGAAGCCAGACCTGAAGGTTCTGCATCATTTAACTATAGTCCTGTGACATTCTAGAAAAAAAAAGGAATGGGCACAGGGACGGAGAACCAAGAGAACTGACCACAGTGGGTAGCTCTAGGCTTTGTGGGATGACAGGCTGCTTCATGTGGCCTTGGGGATATGGATATATGGCGGTGCTGTGCCAAACCCACAGACCCACAGACAGTGTGACTGTCATTGTGCCCAATGAAAACAGCCCCTGCTGGCTGAGCAAGAGCCAGGAGCCTGTGAAGGACTGCATGTGACTATGTGAATGACAGTGCACTGGTTCAGGAAACACAGATGAAAGCTGACCTGAAGTGCTGACTGAAGCCTGTAGGCTTAAAGATTCACATAACTGTAAAAACAGTGCCCTTGAGCAGGCCTGGATCCTTCAGGCCCGTGTTCTGCCCTCTCTAGCAGAGGATGCAGGGGTGTGGGTCCTATCCAAAGAGCTGCAGGTCCCATCAGAGCCTTCAGGCCAGCATGAGCATGTGTGTGGTCAGACCCACGCAGATAGGACACACAGCTGAACATGGATGAATGTGACAGCATGGGCAATGCAGATCCAAGTCTCTGTCCCCCTGTGCCCCTCATGGACAGGTCAGGACTTAAACCCACTACTTTTCTAGTCACAACATCCAGGTTTCTGGAGAGATCTTGATTCTAGGGCTAAAATAAGGGAAAACCAAGATGGGGTTCAAGTATCTCACAGTGTGGGAAGTAAGGAAGTATTAACAAAACAAATGAGACACAAGATGCTACAGGCAATGAGCCCTTTAAGAAAAAGGAAGCAGGGACAGCTCTCCTCACAGGTGCTTCAGTTCTGATTAAAGTCGTATTCTACCAACAGGAGTGAGGCGGTATAAAGGAAACAGTCCCAAGAGAATACACAAGACAGGACTACTTCAGGCAGAGGCCACTGCAGGAAGCTAGCAGCAGCAGGAAAACCAGGTATGGCACAGGCTCAAACTGTCCCCAGAATTTTCTAGGGCCTGTGATGGCTTTAACAGGCCTGTATGCCTTGGACTCCAGCCCCCTGCCCTTCTATGACCTGCTTCTCAGGAACCTAAGAAATACTACGGGTCAGGGGAGCAAACGTGTGCATGCATGTGTGTGTTTGGAGACAGGGTCTCTACATAGTTCCTGGCTGTCCTGAAGCTCAGAGAGATCCTTGGGCTTCTGACTCCTAAATACTGGGATAAAAGCCCTGGGTCCCCATTTTTTTTTAAAGGCTCACTGTTAATGTAGTCTTTTATTCCATTTGTTTTGTTAAGGGCCATCAGACCCAACATGAGGGAGGATCTCTTCTCTAAAACATGCGTTTGGAATACCAGTTAAACCTCCCTATTTTGAAGACAGGAAATATGAAAAGCTCTGAAATCTGAAACTTTATGACAGCTGACGCGACACTCTAAAACATTCAGACTTTTTTGCAGGGAGTGGTGCACGCCTGTGAGATCAGGTCCAGCCTGGTCTACAATGTAAGGCATTCCAGGTTAGCGAGAACTACATAGTGAGACCCTGTCTCAAAAAGCAAGAAACAAGCTTTCAGATTTCAGATGAGAGAAATTCAATTTCCTGGCTGCTAATAGTGGGCCCAGCAGACACCCCCCCACCTTTGTGACCAAGGTCAAGGAGACACAGGGATTCGGGCGCCTCCATCACAAGGTTGGCAGTCACCACATTGGGCTTCCTCCCCAAACCCAGGGCCTCAGTCTTGTCCTGAACCTAGGGCATTCTACAGTGTATTTGAAAGGCACTGAGATCACAGGAAATGAGGACAGGGAACTGATCCCGGAACCCACATGCAGCTCCTCGCATCTCCTTCCTGTCTGTCAACAGAGCTGAATCTGGAGGGAGAAACAGAAAGAATGGCAGGATGGTGGGCTTTGCCCTACATCAGCAGCACATTCCAGAGGAACTGTGGATCTAAAAGAAGCAGCAGTGAGCTCTGGAGAGAGGCTAAGGATGTTCATGTCCATAAGATCCAGGAGTCTGACCACATGGGGAAGGCCTAGCCAATGTGACTCCATTAACATGAAGACATACCTAGCAGAGTACAAATATATGTCATCCTGGTGCAGAGATAGTCTGTATAGAATAATGATGCTATATAAAATATAAAAAGGACTTCACATATCAATAAGAAAAATGTAGTCAGTCTAGTAGAAAATGGGCAGAAATCAATGGTATCCCAAACTGGCCCCAAACTCACAGCACTGGGACCACAGGTGTCCCTTAAATACCTGGTAGTCTGTAAGAAAAACCATTGTGCTCATTTTCAAGATATACCGTCTTAAGACAGTTTAGCAGTCCTGGGCTGTGGCCGACTGCACAGCGGGCGGTGCTGCAGCGCTGTCCTTGACTGGCAGTGGTTACTCAGCTGCTACAAGGGTCTATGTACTTCTGCACTAGCCTGGAAATAAGTGGCTTCCTAATGACGAAGGTAAAGAAATACTAGCTGGGGCAGCTCTTGTGGCCCAGGTGCAATCAGGGCCGGGGATCCTCTAGCCCTGAGAGATAAGAAAGCACACCCTTCTAGGGCCTCTTGAAGAAATCTGGACTCAAACACAGCTGAGGCCAGGCAGCCTTGGTGGGCTGTGATCTCCAGTGCAGGGCAAATGCACCTGCGCATTCCACACCTGCAGCCCCCACTACAGGCCTCGTGACTCCCAGTCGGGACTGTAGGAGGGGCTGCAGCATCACCACCTGGCCGGGAGATAGGGTGTTTATATAAGTGCCAGCCCCAGGCTACCCTTCATGCCTTTCAAGCCAGTTGGTTTGGTCCTAGCGCTCTGACCAAGGTCACCCAAGTGTCTGGGTCCTGGGCGAGCAGGGCCTCCTGAGGCTGAGCTTTCAGCTCTTTTGAGCCTGGGCCCTGCTTTATTCAGCCCCGTCCCTTTAGCACATGGCGCAGTTACTGCTGCCGTCTCTCAGCTGTAGCCCAGAGCCTTTTTTCAGCTGCTTTCTGGGCTGGACGGCACCTCCCAGACCTGTCTCAGGAGAGCCCCAGGGAAGAAGGTGGTCCCATCTGAAATTTTGCTATTCTGCTCTGCCTAAAGGTAGTCACAGGGGTCTGTCAAAGAGTTCCCAGCATAGGTCCCCGGGGACCTGGTGCTCCCTTGTGCTGCTGTGACGCACCTGAGGAGCTGGTGCCCTTGGGGCAGTGTCTTCAGCCAGGTTACACCCTGGCCCCTGTGGCCATTCAGGGCAGCAACTGTTCTTCTGGTTTGCAGGCTCCAGATGTGCACCAGGCCACTCTGAGAGCTGTGGAGTCAGGCACAGGCAGGGACAGGGTTGCAGTCAGTAGACATCTTGAACTTGCTCCAGGTCAACACCACACACAGCCAGTGGAAGGCGCTAGAAACTTCAGCTGGAGGAGCTGACTCTGAACTGGAGGTGATCAAAGGTGACCAGAGGGCTGGGGTACTACTTTCTCAGCGCTCAGTGGTGTGACACAGCAGCATGACTCACTGCTCCTCCAAGGAGTTCCAGAAAGCACAGGGTTTCTAAAAGTGTGGCAAGCACAGTGCCTTCTGCCAGTTTAGATGAGCGCCACGCTCTGTGAAGCCCAGTGCTGGACACCACCCTGGGCTTGGGGTGGGGCAGCTGCTACTCACCCTGAGAAAAGGAGGGGGCTCTCCAGAGCTTGGGATGCTGGGCAGAAATGCAGCGTGTTCACAGGTGACTGAGTGCCTCGGAGGACAAACCTGGGACCAGGCGGTGGCGGGAACAGAGCTGCCATGTGGTAGATGCAGTCCTGGGGTGCAAGGGAGGACATGAGAGTGACAGAGAGCTCTACATCTCTTCAGAAAGCAGCTGGAAGGAGGCATCTAGAAAGCGGTTGGCTTGGCATCCAACTTCTGCCCCCTCTGGGAAAAGGATGTTGCTCTCCATCATGCAGACAGGCTCTGTGACTGTACAACAGCCAGCTCCTGGCATGGGCCCAACTTACCCCAACTGCCAGCCTGCCACTGTTCCTGCTGGGCACCTCCAGCCCTCCCCCTCCCTGTATCCCCATCTTACCTATCAGCTCTGGTATTCCCTCCCTGTATCCCCATCTTACCTATCAGCTCTGGTATTCCCTCCCTGTATCCCCATCTTACCTATCAGCTCTGGTATTCCCTCCTTGGCAAGCACAACCTAGGAACCCTGTATAGAGGTCTTGCAGCCTCTACAGTAGAGCACTTGCCTACCAAGCTCAAGGACCTGTGCTCTATTTCTGGCACCACAGAAAAGGAGCCTTTGCTTGGCCAAACTTGATTCAATCTTCTTGTGCCATTGTGAACACTTTTAGCAAAAACTCTATGTCAGTTTAATACCACCCCATACCCAAATGATCAGGCCCTCAGTCTTCACTACCCATCAAGTGACATCTGCTTACCCTGGCCTGCCTTCAGCCTGGATCCCCAAACACCTGATGTGTCCTCTTATCTATTTTCCATGCACCCCCACATTGCAGAATATTTGTACCCCGTGTGAAGATGTGTTGCTGTGATTGGTATAATAAAGAGCTGAATGGTCAATAGCTAGGCAGGACAGAGAGGGCTCTGGGAAGAAGAAAGGCAGAGGAAGCAGGATGTGCAGGAGGAGAGGTAATAGCCACAAGGCGTGTGGCAGAACATAGATTAATATAAATGAGTTAATTTAAGTAATGAGAGCTAGTTAGGAACAAGCCTAAGCTATAGGCTGAGATTTCATAACTAATAAGAACCTCCATATCATTATTTGGGAGCTGGCAGGACAGAGAAAGACTTGTTACACTTCCACCTGCCCCCTGCTATAATCCCCGACTTGTCACACTTTTCAGAGTTAGCCTAATCTTTTTTCTCACAAGAGCCCACATCCCAGTCCCTATGGCAGTCCATGAGTCAGGTATTCAGGACTGCCTCCGCCCACAGTGACCCTGCATACATGCTCACAGCACTCACCCTGACATCCAGCAGGCTTCCTTCCTGTACCTCCCTTGAGAGCCCTCCACGCTGGAGCCCCTTCGCTTTCCTCCCTAAAGGAGAGTAATGGCATGCCTGGATGACGATTCCTGCCCCATTGCTAGCTCAGGGAGTCTGGACTGTGCTGCCCCTGCCCTGTACCCAGTGCCAGCACCTGCTCAGCAGACATGTGCTTACGAATGAGAGCTGTGTAGGGTCCTGAGAGTGCTAAACCGCCCTATTGGATCCTGGCCTGAACCACCGAAACTTCTAATTATTTTTGTTTGTTTGTTTTTGAGACAGGGTTTCTCTCAGTAGCCCTGGCTGCTCTGAAACTCTCTCTATAGACCAGACTGGCCTTGAACTCATAGATCCGCCTGCCTCTGACTCCTGAGTGCTAGGATTAAAGGTGGGCACCACCATCGCCAGGCCAAAACTTCTAATCATAACCACTTTGTGAACAGCATACTCTATATCTGAGAAACTGAGAACAGGAAATGATTGAGGGAACTGCCCCAGATTCCTGGGAATGGGCCTGAAATTCTCTCAAGGCATGTGCCACCAAGGGGCAGAGCAGCCAGGGAGGGTACACGGGAAGGGGCAGGACCAAGTCATCTGGCCACACCCACGGAACTGCTGCCCTGGCAGACAGACCACTCCTCAAAGCACAGGACTTGTATTTAAGACCTGCTAGGGTCTACCTTGCAAAGGAGAAATTTCCAGTGCCCCAGACCACACACTGTCTGCAGTCTACCTCCTCACGCCACCCCAGTCCCTCGGCTGGCTGCTCTTCACAGGCAGGGGTAACCACAAAGCTACAGGCCAGGATGAAGGTACAGGAGAAAAGGTCAGAGGCAGACAGCAAGGGACTGCACGGTTGTTTCAGACTCTCTAAGAGACTCTACTCACATGCAGCCCGCACAGCAGGGAAAGGCAGCTCTGTCATCAAAAGAACATGACTAGGAAAAGAATGGAGACCAGAGCTGCGCGGATTCTTCCAGAGTGGCTTTAAGGCTGGTGCGGAATGTGGGGAGAGGGACTACAGGCTGAGGCCACACGCAGCTATGAGCAGTAGAGAGACCAGAGAGGCAAAGGCTTCTCTAACAAGCAGCCTCCCCAGGGCAACCCCATCAAGTATATCTTCTACCAGCATGCTCCAGAGTCATACTGCCACACTATCCTATGCCTTCTTCTTTTCCTCTTTGTTACAGGAAATGCAGGTATGGACTCTAAGCAATACCACAGTAAAAGATATGTATACAGCAGCCAGAGCCAGGCTCCCAGGGGACCACCAGGATCTATGGAGGATGGGGATAGGATCGGGGCTGTGCCAAGCAAGGCCAGTGAGGTCCGTACCCATGCCAGAGGCATGAGATCAGACACATATCTAGTTCTGGGTCAAGCCCTTTTTGGGCTAATTCTACCCTTGGACTCTGATTCCCTCAAGGGCTTTCAAAGAAAATAAGGTTACCAGGAATACATGTACAAACTGCCAAATTCCCTCTTTTCTGGGTTGTTTTTTGGGGGATGGGGTTAGGGAAGGAGCTTTAACTATCATCATTTGCTAAAAGCTAACTCTGTGCAAATGTGAGGTGTGACTTCTGCAGACACTGATCACAGATACATGTCCCTGAAAAGATAAAAAATGCTAGAAGAACTGCCTCAAGCAGGTGGCTCAAAGGACAGGTTCAGAGGGCACTGAGGCCCTCCAAATCACAGCTGTGTTCTTGCCAGATACAAGCCCACAGGCCCTAGCTCCACCACTGCCAAGAACTTAATCTCTTACAGCATGTTCACCCAGCAGGAAAGCTCTAAGTCAAGATAGGGGCATCCTGCCACACGGGCCCCCGCAATGAAGTATCTGCAGTACAGATACCACATATACTGTAGTCATGTGCATACACACAGACACACAGATGCTCACATTTATACATGCATACATAAACACCCACCCACACAGATACACCCCCTTCAGATGCATTCCACACACAAGGGCATACAGACTCTCACGCACAGAGCAAAACGCATGTGTATACTTGTGCTCACATGCACACTCATGCACATACATGTATACGAGTTCTCACACACATGACCCTGGGCAGCGCCAGCTGAAGCTCGGCCCACACTTGCCACCTGCCTGCGGCATGGTGGGAGTTTCCAGAACCTCACAGCAAAAGGCTCATTGTGAGGTGATGCAATCAAGGTCTCCTCTATTGTCTCCCCAGAAATGCAGGGAACAAACCCGTCACGTCACGCTGTTACAACAGTCGAAAAGCTCAGGCCAAAATGATGCACCAACAATTAAGGGCTCCATCATTTCAGGCAATTAAAATAAATGCTTTATTTGAAAACTAATTAATTCTACCTACATTTTTTTCCTATGACAATATCCTATGATTACTTGATTTATGACACCCAATTATTCTCTATTAATCTAATTGAGAATAATTGTATTATCCTATCTCTCCTGGCCCCTGGCCGCCCTGTGTGGAGGCCACAGCCCTTGTGTATGGTCCACGCACAGTGCTGCTGTGTGGTGCCGAGGCTGTACCCCTTGTCTCTTCTCCAAGAGTAAGAGGGCAGAAGATCAGAAACAATGCAGAACACACTTTGGTTCTGCCTGTTCTTCAAGATGTCAAAGTGAGAGAGATTATTTTAAAACTTACAGGAGAGACAACCTGGAAATTTGGGAAATGGATGACCTTCCCTATAAATGCTGTAAGTGCCGAAAGCCCCCACACAGTGAATGACAGGAGTGCACCCCCGGGCAAATCACAGCAGCCTTGTCTAGAGGCCTCAGGGTCACTCTCATGGAGAGGTTCCCTCTCTGGGACTCTACTGTGCTGCTAATTTTATGCCAACTTTACACAGGCTAGAGTCATCCGTGAAAAGGAAACCTCAACTGAGAAAATGTCTCCATCACACTGGTCTGTAGGCAAGCATGTGGGGGGCATTTTCCTGATTAACTGACTGATGTAGGAGGGTTCAGTCCACTGGAGGTGGTACCATGCATGCCTGTACAGGTGGTCCTGGGATGCAAACAAAAAACAAAAACAAAAACAAGTTGAGCAAACCAAGGAGGATAAACCAGTAAGCAGTGTTCCTCCATGATCTCTTGAGTTCCTGCCTCCAAGGTCCTGCCTCCGCTTGAGTGTCTGCCCGGAATTCCCTCAAGGACAGTCTGTGATCAGGACAACTAAGCCAAACAAACTTTCCTCCCCCAGTTGCTTTTGGTCCTGGTGTTTTTTATCACAGCAACAGAAAAGCAAACTGGGGTGGCGGGGATATATCCCAAATCAGATCTGAAAAAGATCCAATCTGGTAAAAGGTGGCTGGGAAATAGGTTTCCATGGTACTCTTTTGTGGTTACTAATCACAAAAGGAAAGGGTACCTTTACAATGGAGACATCTAGCTGTCATCGCCTTCCCCAAATGATAGAAGCCAGCGCCAATGATAAACAACAGGCATTGCTTATCTCCTGATGATATGTGATGTCATGACACCATCTGCATGAATCCATGCTGATAATGTTCAAACATGAACCTGGCCATGAGGAAACAGACACATCCAGACATGGGAGGCTACACAAGAAAATTAGCTTAGGCTTGTGAAATTGGCCAAGGTCAAGAGAAACTACAGAAGCAAAAGGCAGTGAGTCTTCTATAGTAAAGTAAACTGAAGAGATATCAAAAGCAGTCTCTCAGGAGGCAGAGGCAGAAGGTCTCTGAGTTCAAAGACAGCCTGGTTTACAAAGTGAGTTCCAGGCCAGTCAGGGCTACACACAGAGAGAAACCCTGTCTGAGACACTGACAGAGACAGACAGACAGA